TGCATAACCATTATATCTCAAACACTTGTAGTTAGGAAGATGATTCCTGTGTTATCATGACAACAGTGAACAAGAGATTTGATTAAAATAACAGATGACCATATATGGTCATGTGAACTCATTAATATGCATAGCAGTCATATCTAAAACACTGTCGCAGAGCAGGACATGTAACAAGTGTCATTATGAAGAGCTTGGGCCCCGGTGACGCCGCTTGCGGCTTTAATTTAGTTTGTAATCAATATCATTGGTAATGCATCTCACAAATCCCATGGCAATACTATACTGGGATTGTTGCACAGTCTAATACACATTTGCAAACATGCCAATAAAATGTAGAAAGTGTCAGATCATGATATAGGCACTTCTATGAATAACCCCTTGGGTGCCAAACTATTGATCAAGATCTGAAGCCAATAGAAAATCTATTTAGTCCAAAGTTATCAAATCAAAAACAATATATAAAAAGCAAAATGTTGCATCTACATTTTGAAAGGAAAATTGTTCTCAAAAATATGTATTCTGTGTTTGACATGCAGTTCATTTGACAAAACATTTAGTTGTTGAAGTATATAAATTTTGAAAATCTAATTCACAAGAATTTGTTTCAGCTATTGGATCACAATAATAGAGCTTTTTAAAAACTTGCTTTAAAGACGAAGATTAGATTCCCAGGAGGCAACAGTACTGTTGACCTCTCCACTGGACACCAACTATTTTTTCGATACATGGTGCATACTTCAAGGCTGAATTGGATTTGTATACAAAGCAGAGCTTGCAACATGATTGTTTTCCCTAAGCAGTTTTTCCTTTTCAAATAATACAGTAGTCGCGCAATGAATATGGGGCAGTTCATACTTGTATTTGTCTCAGTAAATCATTAATTTTTGACAGATACGATACCTGTACTTTCATTTCATTTTTTTTTAGCTCCGCTGTCGACTTTGTCGAGCGGAGCTTATCATATGAGTGATATTCCGTCGTCATTGTCCGTGTCAATGTTTTACTTTTTCGACTTCTTCTTGAAAACTACAAGCCTGAATGCTTTGATACTTGGTGTATATGTACCTTGGGTAGACCTCTCTTAGGTTTGTTCATTTCATGTTGATATCTTCAATTCTCTAATTTTGGTGAATATTTTTGTCATTTTTGGTAAAAAGTGATATTTTCGACTTCTTGTTAAAAACCGCAATTGCTTTGATATTACATATATAGGTACTACATGTGGACCTCTCTCAGATTTGTTCATTTTGTAATGATATCTTTAATTAGCTCCGCTGTCGACTTTGTCGAGCGGAGCTTATCATATGAGTGATTGTCCGTCGTCGTCCGTGTCAATGTTTTACTTTTTCGACTTCTTCTTGAAAACTACAAGCCTGAATGCTTTGATACTTGGTGTATATGTACCTTGGGTAGACCTCTCTTAGGTTTGTTCATTTCATGTTGATATCTTCAATTCTCTATTTTTGGTGAACATTTTTGTCATTGTTGGTAAAAAGTGATATTTTCGACTTCTTGTTAAAAACCGCAAGTCCGATTGCTTTGATATTACATATATAGGTACTACATGTGGACCTCTCTATGATTTGTTCATTTGTGATGATATCTTCAATTCTCTAATTTTTGGTGAATATTTTTGTCAATTTTTGGTAAAAAGTGATATTTTCGACTTCTTTTTAAAAACCGCAAGTCCAATTGCTTTGATAACTTACATATATAGGTACTACATGTGGACCTCTCTCAGATTTGT